AAAATGTTGTTTGAGTATAATAATTGTCCACTATCAGTATTGACCAAATCGAAAATATGGTGGTACGGAGATTATGTACACCCTATACGTGGATAAAATTCTTGGAAAAAGGTTTCTATTGTTCGTAAATTGTGCGCAAATGAGTTATGTTTTTGTGCGCAAATGAGTTGTAAAAAAGGTAAATGTGCGAAAATGAGTTGTAGCCGCTTGTACATAGTCTGTAGCGTACACACAAATGCCATCCGATTTCAGTATTCAGTTTTACGTATACTTCCGAGCCGGTACTTACGTTTTCGCGCGCGTTCTTCGTCTTCGTTGTAATAAGTGCGTTGTGTTCGTTTGTGCATTCTTGTTCTTATTCCACTGTGATCGTATTTTATTTTCACTAGTGTAATAAAATGGCCGATTTGAAGTGCTTTATTTGTGATGATTTTTTTATCTAACAAAGAAAGTGTAGTTATCAAAGAGCGTGGATTGAAGACACTTATAGATAGTAGCAAACGACGCAAAGATGGAAAACACATTTTTTTGGAAGAACGTTGGTTTGTGACTGTTCATTGCAACTGCCGTAAATCATATGTCAAAGAAAGCAATATCGCTACATCATTGACCTGTTGAAAGTGAAGCTTGACGGACTAATGATGTTAGCATTAATATAATAAGTAATAACACGACAATATGATTATGTATAAGTATAATATATAATAACGTACAACTGGACAATTAAACTGTGACTATACACACACACCGCGTACACTCAGTATGACAGCGTCTGTGCAAGTGAATATTACATACATCAAAGGCCCTATATATATGCACGACCGAGGTCATGTTACATCCGTGAGAGAGTGAGTCTTATGCTCGTACATAACTAGTTACTATATTGTACACACGTGTCAAGGCTGACTACATGTACTACATATTAATTGTATATTTCAACACCCTCCCTCAATTAATAATCTCTTTAATTGTAGTCACTCCTATGGCTGACCGCAACTTCTCGAATCGTTCCTTAACCAAAGGCTTGGTTAGAATGTCCGCAATCTGGTCCTCTGTTCCAATGTACTGTAGTTGGAATTGTCCCTCTTCGTATTTCTCCCGTATGAAGTGGTACCGTACGTCTATATGTTTTGTCCTCTTATGAAACTCCGGATTCTTAACTAAACGTATAGCACTCTGATTATCTATAAATAAAACTGGTTGTTTGTCACCTGTTGTTGATAAGCTTGTTATCAACCGTGTAATCCACAAGATCCCTTTGACAGCTTCACTGGCTGAAATATATTCAGCCTCTGTCGATGATAACGACACACAATGTTGTCTCTGCGATGTCCATGAAATTATGCTTGACCCGTACCTGAATAAAAATCCTGACGTTGAACGTCGTGTCTGAATGTCGCCTGCGTAATCTGCATCGCTAAATATTTCTAATGACAATTTTGTCTTGTTATTAAAGTACAAGCCATAATTAAATGTTCGCTTGATATATCGTATAATCCGTTTTACCAAGTTCCAATGAGCTTTAGTCGGTTTTGCTAAGTAACGACTAGCAAAGTTTACTGCATATGCTATATCTGGTCTTGTTACCTGTGATAAGAACAGTAAGCTACCTACTGCCTGCCTATAAGGAATATCTTCATTCAATATTTCCGTATCTTCCTTTTGTTCAAGTGTATGAGATTTGTCTATTGGTATTGAAAGTTCCTTGGCTTTATTCGATCCATCTTCGTATCCTGGTGGTTGTACCATGTAAATTTCTTCCTGTAGTTCTCCGTACAGAAATGCTGTCTTGATGTCGAATTGTCGTAGTATTAATTTTTCCACAGCTGCTACTGCAAATATCGCCCTAATTGATTCGTATCTGACCACTGGCGAAAATGTTTCATGGTAATCTATACCGTATTTCTGTGAACAACCTTTAATGACCAATCTGGCCTTAAACTTATCGATATTACCGTCACTTTTATATTTGGTTTTGAACACCCATGCATTACGTAACGCAACCTTGCCCTGGGGCAAATTAACTAGTGACCAAGTGTTGTTTCTGTGTAGTGATTTAATTTCATCACTCATAGCGTGCTCCCACTCGTTTTTCTGTGGGCCAGCTATCGCTTCATCACGATTTAGTGGTTCAACGAGATTGGCGACGAACGACGACACATTATACCTGATCGGCGCTTTTAATGTATTCCGATCACGTAGCACCATGCCACTCCTGTTGTCGACCGTCGTCAATTCAACCTTGACCGGATCGCCCTCGACTTGAGTCTGAGTATCTGTGAATTCTAATTTGTCTGCAATTATATTTTCCAATTTATTACCTTCGTTTTCGAATATAATATCTCTAGACATTGAAATTCTATTTGTTTTCGAATAATACACACGATAACCTTTCGTGTTATCCGAATAGCCAACAAATATTCCTTTTTCACTTTTAGGGTCCCACTTTTTACGTTTTTGCTTTGGTATGTGTGTATATACGACAGTACCAAAAACTCGTAAGTGTTTAATGTCTGGCATTACCTTGTAATATAACTCGTATGGTGAGTTATTTTTAACTGAACTGGTTCCTGTTCGATTAAGCGTGTAAACAGCCGTGTTTACCGCCTCCGCCCAAAGTGATACATCCAAATTCTTCGCACAAATCATTGTCCTCGCTGACTCTACTATTGTACGATTTTCCCGTTCCACTTTTCCATTTTGCTGTGGTATGTAGGGAACTGTTAACTGATGTCGAATCCCGTGTTTTTGTAAAATACCCGTAATTTCTTTATTTACGAATTCTAATCCATTATCCGTTCGTAATATTTTGACCTTAGAACCTGTTTCTGTTTCAACACTTTTATGAACGTCTCAAAAATATTTTTAACATCATATTTATTTTTAATAAAATATACCGTTCTATAATGCAAGTAGTCGTCTTTGAATAACAAAAAGTATTTTGAACCGCCTATAGAGCTTACCTCCATTGGTCCACATAGGTCTGCATGAATTAAATCACCGACATTGTGATACTCCGTATTACTTTTACTAAATGATTTACGACTTTGTTTACCTATTATACAACTGCTGCACATGAATTCGTCGTCCTTGGCCGAACATACTATTTCGTGTTTCGCCAAACAACTTTTTACGTACTGTAAATTCTGATGTGCCATGCGCTCGTGCCAAACAGACAACCTGTTTTCGACAGCTACCGTCGCGTACCCGTTTGTCGGTACTTCGACCTTGATGTTTAACTCAAACAACCTTCCGCATCTCTTACCTGAGCATACGGGTTTCCCCTGTTTAGTTAACATACACGTCTTACTATCTGACGTCAATACTAAACCTTTATCCATCGCGGCTCCGCACGAAAATAAATTAAATTTTAGTCCTGGCACGTGCAACACGTTTGCCATGTAATTTTTATTCCAATTACCATTTACGTATGATAATATATTAATATTACCTCTACCTGCTGCATACAGATTCGTCCCATCACCTATCGTGATTTGTTGCGTGTTGTCCAGTGGTTCATAACTTGAAAACCACTCTCGATTTGCGCTCATATGATCCGAAGCGCCCGAGTCTAGTACCCACGCATCTGTTGCAATATTATTTATTCTTGAATCGCTTACGAATGCGTTCAAGTTCGCACCTATAGTACCGGTCTTACCACCGTGTACACTTTGTAGAAAATTTCTACAGTCTCTTTTATAATGACCTAGTTTACCACAGTAATAACACTTAATATTACTTTTATTCGAAAATTGATTTTTACCTTTTCCATAATTACGACTGCCGTTTCTTCCATCAGATCTGTTTTGAAATTTGGCCGGAAATGCACTCGATTTCTCTTGTTCACCAACTTCACCTTTGATCTGGATAACCCGTGATTCTTCAATCAACAATCGACTAGTCAAATTATTTATATTTTTACTTCCCGTCGGGACTGAATCCCAAGCACTGTAAAAATGATTATATTCTTTTGGTAGTGTCATTAGTATTTTTGTCATAACCATGTTATCCGTAACTGGTTCACCCGCTACACTCAGTTTCCTTCCTAAATTGACCAATTTAGAAATATGCGTCGACATGTCATCTGTCGACTCCTTTGAATAACTGAAAAATTGTTGTTGAAGCAAATGTGTACTTGCCTCAGACTTCTGCTCGTAAATACTCAGCAGTTTCTCCCACATTTCCAATGCAGTCTCACAGTTAATCAAATATTGTAATGGACCATCGTCCACTGAGGTAACTATTATTTTCTGACATTTACCTCCGCTTTTTGCCAAGCGCTAGTATGCCTTTGCCAACGTGCTTTGGCTTCCTCGTCGGTCTCTCCTGCCGACTTTTTTATAGGTAGACCTGGTTTCGTCCATTCGCCTGAAACTATCTCACCTACTTCCAAGGCATTTAAAATGACCTTCATCTGGAACTTCCATAACGACCAGTTTTCCGCACATAATTTTGTTATCTTCACCGTGTCTTCCATGACCGATGGATTCCCGTATACTTTCCTGTATAACAATTTATAACAAAACTTTACCTATGTACACTGTTCCGCCGTTTTCCGAAATCCAGGATATCTCCGACTGGTTGTAGTTTTCTGCGTTAATACAAATATAAAAATACTTCGATCACGAATCCACTAGACTGTTTGTCTTGGTTATTGACTGGGCCCATAACCTGTTGAGAGTGAAGCTTGACGGACTAATGATGTTAGCATTAATATAATAAGTAATAACACGACAATATGATTATGTATAAGTATAATATATAATAACGTACAACTGGACAATTAAACTGTGACTATACACACACACCGCGTACACTCAGTATGACAGCGTCTGTGCAAGTGAATATTACATACATCAAAGGCCCTATATATATGCACGACCGAGGTCATGTTACATCCGTGAGAGAGTGAGTCTTATGCTCGTACATAACTAGTTACTATATTGTACACACGTGTCAAGGCTGACTACATGTACTACATATTAATTGTATATTTCAACATGACCACTACCAAAAATACTCGAAGGTCAGATATTCCAGTTTTCGATTTTAAACAAAAATGTTTGTTATGCGAGGGGGATGCATCTGACGAGTTTTTAAAAAAAGAAATTAAAAAACCTGTTCAAAAACGTGATCGGGTTCATTGTGTTGAAACACTAGTTTTCAAGGACAGTCTTTTGGAAACTGCAAGGGACAGAAATGATAAATGGAGCAGTGATGTTATTCTCCGTGTTAGTAATGTTTCCGATCTTGTTGCAGCTGAAGGTAGATATCACGGTGCTTGTGGTAAACATTTTTTTAAACGTATTTCCACTCAGCAAAGCTCTAAAGGTCGACCAGAAAACGTCGAAGTAACAGCTGCCTTTGATTGTGTGTGTAATTATATTGAAAACAATGAAGATCAATGTCAATTTTCATTACGGGAAATTCTCAATGACTACAAAGGATATATACCAACCGAAAAAATTCTAAAAAAAAGACTTATTGATAAATATGGCCAGGAAATTGTGATAGCTACTGGAATAAAGCCAGTAATTTGTTTTCGTAATACTGGCTACACAATTTTAACAGATAATTGGTACAATTCGAAAAAACAAAATGTAGAAGAAGAACGTCTCCGTATTGTTAAAGCAGCTGCTGATATAATCCGAGAGGATATCAGATCGATGGTTTACGATTTACGCAATTATCCTACACCAGAAACTTTTCTTGACAACGTCGAAAATGATGTTCCGAATTCACTTCAAATGCTTTTTAATTCAATTATTAAAAAAAAAAAATGTACTGATGAAGACAAATGCAAAACCACTACCCTTTCAATTGCACACTCCATAATTGCTGCGACTAGGCCAAGATCTTTTCTTTCTCCAATACAAATAGGTCTTGGAACATTAATATATAAAAAATATGGGTCAAAAGAACTCTTAGATGTTATATCCACCCTAATTTTTGCAGTTCTTACAATAGTATCAGGCTATTTGAGATGTCCTGCTTAAAAAATCCACCAAAAGTTGTGATGCGAAATTCATTTTGTCAAATTGTTTTCGACAACGCAGACGTAAATATTGATACCATAGACGGATTAAATACATTTCACGCAATGGGAGGCATCCAATGTATAACTCCTTTCACCTCAGTGTCATATGAAACCAACATTAAAAAATTAGATACGACTCTCGCTGCTCAAACTATTGAAGAAGTCGATTGCATTCAACTGCATACTTTTCAACGAACAGTTAAAGAAGGACTATCAAACATTAAAATCAATGATGTCTATCGCAAAAAAATAACAAATAAAGTAAAACTCTTACCTAGCGATTTCTTATGGATTTATGGTAAGTGGAAAGATTTAATCGATATTCCAGGTTGGAATGGTTTCATGGAAAAGGTCAATATAAATAAAACGTACTCAAGATCACGAATATTGTGTCTTCCATTTTTAAATTCACCACCCTCCAAATATGATACAATATATTCGGTACTTCTTACTGCAGTTGAAAAATGTAATCAAAGTTGTTGTTTTGTAACCTTCGATCAACCTTTATACATAAAAGCTCGAGATATAGTAGCATCATGTTCAACTGATTCGGAAGTTAGCTTAGTTATAGTTAGGCTTGGTGGTTTTCATCTATTAATGTCTTTTATGGGTGCTATTGGCTATATTATGGACGGATGTGGATTACAAGATTTGTTCAGTGTTGCTTATGCTGTAGCTTCAACTGAAAAAATTATGACTGGCCATGCATATTCAAGAGCTTTAAGAGCCCATATTTTAGCACATCTAGCTTTAGCCAAAATCGTTTTATCTAAAATTAATTTTTCTGAAAAAGAGCACTTGAAAATGACTGATGTTCTAAGTGACGTCGGAATCACATATTTTATTGATAACATTGAAGCGTCTTCCAAAATCAGTAATATATTGAATATTTTTTCTAAGAAACTACTTGAACATGAGACAAATGGTGCAACAGCAAAACTTTGGATTCAATATTTCCATATGATTACGTTGGTGAAACAGTTTATTCAAGCGGAACGGAGTGGAAATTGGAATTTGCATTTACAATGCATACAAGACATGCTGCCTTATTTTTATGCGAGTGGTCATTTTTTGTATGCGAAATCATGTCATCTTTATTTACAAGATATGCAAGAATTAAAGTCTAAATTGTCAAATCTAGATTTTGAACGTTTCGTAACAAAAGGATATTTCACAATTAGACGATCTGACAAGTTTTGGTCTGGAATATGGTCAGACATGACGATCGAGCAGACTCTCATGAGGTCTATGAAAAGCAATGGTGGATTAACTCACGGAAGAGGTATAACTGAGGGTACTATGACCAAATGGATTAACTCAATGACTACTATGATAGACATTTCACAGCAAAAAGAAACATTTTGTGGCATTTCATTTGCTACAACTGAACAGCATGTTGATGCTAGAACGTCACGGATATCTAGAGACACCATTGATGTAAACAAGTTTTTTGATTGGTTTAAATTTCATGATCCTTTTACCAAGTCAGAAAATGTGTTGTCCATAAGTACTGGAGTGATAGGAGACAAAGAGATAAATTGCCATCTAGCATATGAAATAGGCATTGAATCAATGTCAAATGTAATTGGAAGTAATTTTGGACAAGTCAAGTTTCAGCGAAAAAATCGAGTGATGCCTCTACGAGGTTTTACTTCAAAAGTGAAAATTTACGATGAAGAGATTCCTGTTAGTCCTGATGTTATTTTTCGACGAATTTCATACATGAAAAAATCGGATGAAGAATTTAAGGAATATTTCGAATTTGAACTGGCTCCCTATCCTCTCTCACTATTCGATGAAAAAGGAATGCGAAAGACTAAGAAATCAATTTTTTATGATTTGTTTAATCCTGTAACTGACTATAATTTTGAAAACGCCGTTTACGTAATAGATGGTGGTTTTCTTTTACATAGAGTTGTTTGGCAAATAAGAGAAACATTTTCTTCAATTTTAAATAAGTACGTCAATTATGTGAAACAATATTACAAAAATAGTGTCACTATTGTTTTCGATGGATATCCAGATGATGCAACTAAAAGTACCAAATCGGCAGAACGCTATCGAAGAGCAATTCGTCATGAAGCTGCAAATGTACTTTTTGACGAGACAATGTGTGTAACTATGTCTCAAGAGCAATTTCTTTCCAATGATGCCAACAAAAAACGTCTTATATTTTTTTTACGGGAAAACCTTGAAAATGACAATTTTATTGTGAAGCAAGTTATCGAGGATGCTGACACTTTAATTGTTCGTAGTGCTATTGAGAAAGCAAATAGTGCAGAGTGTGTTGTTATGGTTGGCGAAGACACTGATCTTTTGGTTCTTCTGACAGCTCTGTCGCCTTCATCTTGTACAAACATTTATTTTTTGAAACCAGGAAAAGGAAAATTGGACCATTTGTGTTATAGTGCTTACAACTTAAAATATTCAAAACATGTTAAAGATAACATATTGTTTCTCCATGCTTTCAATGGATGTGACACAACTTCGGCATTTTTTAGAAAAGGAAAAATACAATTCGTGAAATTGTTAGATAAAAAAAACGAATTGCAAGATATTGTTTCCATTTTCTTAGATGACAACGCTAATGCAAATGATATTGATGATGCTGGTCAACTTTTTATTACTACGCTGTATGCAGATAAGTGTGTCGAAATGTCGTCATTGGATAAATTACGATATCAGCTTTTCGCAAAATCTTTAATGAAAAAGAGTTTCAATCTTGCTTCTTTACCTCCTACTCAAGCAGCTGCTCGTCAGCATTCTTTACGTACATATCACCAAATTCAAATGTGGATTGGAAATGAAAAAAATCCCCTAGATTGGGGTTGGAAGAATACAAAATACGGTCTTGTTCCAATTACCACGAACAAAGATCCAGCTCCACAATCAGTATTGAAAAAAGTTTCGTGTAAATGTGCGAAAGGATGCAGAGGATCGTGTAGTTGCCGAAAACTAGGAATGACTTGTTCAAATATTTGTTTTAACTGTCGGGGACAATCGTGCACTAACTGTTTAAAAGACGATCAAAAGAAAATTTTGAAACTGATAAACATTTTGAAAAAATTATTGAAAAATACTGTGAAATAGATGGAGAACATGAAGAAAACGACAATAAAGAAGATCAATTAGAAGGGCAACAAGACGAAAATGATGAAGAGGAAGACCAGATGGAAAAAAGGGACCAAGAAGATATTTATGGGTCTTCAACATCAAAAATATTGAAAACAAACTAATGCAGTGTGTATAAATTATCATATATTTTTATTTCTGTATAATTCAAAAAATGTAACTATATTTTATATTTAAATTATTTTGTTCTAGAAAGAAGTAGATCAGAGAGAGCAGTCAAAAACGAAAACATGGGCCATAACATAAACAATAAATTCAATTGGTTTCAAATAAATTATTTAAATAATATAACACTTGTATACAGGGTGATTTTTTTATCGTGAACCAGTTAATATCTCGGGAAGTATTAGTAATTTTAAAATAATTTTTTTTTTAAACTTTCTAGGTTTTACTATTTTACACTGTGTTACAATTTTGAAAATTTTAACTTCCTCCCTTATTTGATAAAACACTATCAACTTTCGATTTTCAAATGGCAATACCTATTTTCGATAACGAAAATCTATAAACATACTGAAAAAAAAATTTTAACGTTTACAGAATTTAATTTGAGTAAGCCGTTTACGACTTATTAATGCTGAAATATTCGTTAAATTTACTGCTACTGGGCAATTTAACAACCCAACTGTAAAAACCAGAAGTCAAAACGAAATTTTATCTCAATTTAACAATACCCATAACGGTAATAATCAATAATAACAAGATAGATAAACAATACTATAAGAAAAAAAAAAGTGTTCCATCATCACTCCCACCAGAATACCGAGTGTCAGTAAACGAGTGAACGACTATTATAGCCATCCGCGGCCTGCAGCTGCAGCAGCTAGGCTTTATCAGCTATAAAGTATAAAAACATTTTAAATTTATCATAATGGTTACATAATATAGCATTGGTTACTGATCCCTGGTATACGGTCTTATCACGTATTTGTAGATAAACGATAATAAATGCCGGTAAACTGTTTCTGAAAACATGTGGTTATTGAGTTTCCCATTATCAAGTATTAAATATTAATTTTTAATTAATTATTATTCTTTGAACGTTAAACCACAGAATACGCTTTAAGTAAATTCTTAATTATGTGTATTATTTAAAATATAAATTTAAAGTTTAGGTAAGCCAATTATTCCAATGCATACCTATTATATTTTTTGATAGTGTTTTAATGTTGTATTTTGGTTAACAAATTTGTATTTAATTAAAAATATACTTCTATCCAATCAGAAATATTATTATGTATATGGGAATCAGATTTCATACTTAGCCGACAACTTTATTTGTATAATTTATTGGTAAGTTCAATCTAAAATTAATATATTAGAATTTTATTTTTTTATTAAATGATTTATACATACATATTATTGACAAATAATAACCAGGGTTAAAATATTTTAATTTTATTTCAGTGGCAATTAGTAGAGTTTATATAATTCATCAAAAAATACAGTGAACTATATGACTAGACAACTAAATTTGCTCAGAAATTAATGCAAATTCATATTGCTTTCTACTGGTACCTATCTGATGACTATAAATTAATATGGAATAAAGGAATACAATATACATACATATTTCTATATCTTATATAATAAAACGCTAATAACGCGTATAAGATCCGCGGGGAGCGCTCACGGCACTCCGCGTTTCTTCCATGACGACCAATCACAATACTTCCCGCGCGTTCGCTATAAATTCCGCTCGCTTATCTCCCATTTCCTTATCGACGAACATTTTCGAACATTATTATTATTATTATTAAAAAAAAACCCGTGTTTTTCAATTTTTTGACGTGATAATAACGTCTTATAAATCGATTACCCCGCGAC